AATAAGAGGGTAGAATTTCCACATTAAGGGTTTAGGGGGTAGGGTTTAGGGTTCAGAGTTTAGGGGGTAGGGTTCAGAGTTTAGGGGGTAGGGTTTAGGGTTTAGGGGGTAGGGTTTAGGGTTTAGGGTTCAGAGTGTGGTGGTTCAGGCTTTACGGGTTTAGCGTCAAGGCTTAAGGGTCTCAGCGGGGAGGGGGGGGGGGGTGACTGCAGAGACCTTAATAAGGGTGTTTATGGAGATTACTTGGAAGGTCATGGGACTTAGTAACTACTTCTAACAGGGCTTATAACCCTACTTATAAGCCTTCTCCATGGCCCGTGGCCTCACAGGGGTTAAATCAGAAAAGTAGATCATGAGTAGGGTTATATACCACAGTTATCACTACTAACTAAATCCCACTAATCTTGAAGTATAGAGGGCACTCCGCTGCTTCCCCCTGAAGCATCAACAAGGCGGAGGAAGCCTTTGACCACTCCAGATCCCCTACATCCTGTAATTGCTATATGGCATAAGGTTTGGCGGGTGGTGCAAGATTTCTTCCTGTACATTCTGTTCATGCAGGGTTTGCATGAAGCTGTTGTCTTGCTGCTATGTTTTGGGAGGGGGGGGCGCAAGAATACCATCCAAAATTACTGTGGAGCCTCAGAAAGAAAATTGAAAATTACTAGCGTCCTTTCTCCAGCTGCTGCATACGTTTTCATGTTAGTAAAGGCTAGAACCCAAACTCAGCTCTCGGGTGGGTACGGTTGAGACGAAGAATCCTCCTGCATTAGCCTGAGTACCTTATACCTTAGGAATTACAGGAGCCCGGTAAGCTCCTTCGCCCTAAAACCTAAAACCCTAAACCCCGAGCGCTAAAGCCTAAAAGACTCTAAGCCCTAAACTCGAGGCCAAAACTCCAAGGCCATGCAGGCTGTTCAATGTCCGCCATAGATCTGAGATTATCCCTTTCCAGTTCAACATAGCTTGGAGGGTGCCCCCCTTCCACATCTAACCTACCCCCGCTTACCAAGGGACCCAAGAAAGCACACCCTTGAAAAGGAGAAGTCAGTAGACCATGACCCTAAGTACCCTCATAGAATTGATGGGCACTTGGGCCTAAATCGGGGTAGATTCCAATTCTAGGTAGGCCTTTTTTTTTCTGGGTTCCTGGGGAGTGTGGCAACTCTCTTCTCCAGAAACCTGCGGGGATAGGCATGAAACTACTTCCCATCTAGGATACTAGGAAGGAATGTTTTCGTCTAGTCGACCATGACAGGGGCCTAAGTTATTGTCAGTTGCAGTTGCAAGACAGAACCCTAAACCCTAAACCCTACTGAGGAAAGACCAACTCAAAGAACACCCTTATCCCTGAACCAGGAAAGCCCAATCCTCCAAAAGCACACAGCCCCCAAAGCCTTAGGTCTTAGGGTTTAGGGTTAGACCCTTACATCCTACTCTTCCACACCCCAAAACCCCAACAACTTGAAACCCAAAGCCCTTACGCAAGCTCCTCTATAATCAGTCGCAATGATGTGGGAGGTTCTCAGCATATACTTTGTGGACTTCCGAGGCATGTATCGGTGTTCAAAGGAAATTATGGTGGGGTCCTGATTGAGGGTTCTATACAGGGGACATTTTGAGAGAATCCTGTATGTAGGGCATGGGATTGTTTCAGGAATTATATAGGGACCACTAGAGGGAGCCACGCTGTTGAACGCCACTAGTTCGCACTTGACAGCCGGGGTCCACACGTCCGCATGGCAAAGAAGCGATGACAGGTAGTCATATCGCAGGCCACACACCTTTCAGGATTTAGGGCTAGCAGAGCTTGGGGTTGGCAGAGTTTAGGAATAGCAGGGTCTAGGGTTCTGCACCCTAAGACCTGCAAACCTACAAACTCTCAAGCTTGGGGATTTTCAATTTGGCGGTTTCGGACTTTGGGGGGTGCAAAGATTTTTGTTGCTAGACATCCGCGGCCCTGAAGTGCTGGGTGTGGGTGGTGGGAGATAGAGTTGAAGGTTTAGGACTTCAGGGATCTAGATATCGAGGAGTTTCTGAGATGAAGGTCAGGGAAGAGCATGGGAATTCCAAGAATATCCGGGAAGGGCAACCAGAAATCAAGCGTATTCTTCTTCAAGAGATGACCATGCTGCATTTGAAGCTATCCTTGGTTAATCATGCCACTCACAGGGGGGTTTCCAAACATCAGGGATCCGCTCTTAGACCCCAAGCCCTACCACTAGTACCCTATACCCTATCAACCCTAGGCTCCACATCCTAAAAACCCTACCTGGACCCCAAATGTATGTAAAACAATGGCCTTTATGGCTGATGTTACGGGTTTAACGCCATTATTTTACATACTTTGGGGGTTTGGCTCCACATGGTTTAGGGTTTAGGGTTTAGGGTATACCCTCGGGCACCTTCCCGCGCGACTGGCGGTAGTATGTCTCACAGAGCTCCATCACCGTGGGCCGGAGCAGGGTGACCTTTCGCTTCATTCTAAGAAAGGGGCTATGGCCCCCAATATGGGACCTTAATCCTGGGGTTTAAGGGCTTGGGGTTTAGGGGTTTAGGGGTTTAGGGTTTGAGGGTTTAGGGTTTAAGGGTTTTAAGGGTTAAAGGGTTTAAGGGTTGAGGGTAGGGTTTATAGGGTTTAGGGTTTAAGGGTTTAGTGTTTATAGGGCCCATGGTTCGGGCCCAGGAAACCAGTAGGGGCCCGTAGTAATGGTGAGGACCTTAGACTGCGGCTTCCGTAAGCCACATGATTTGGACATCTCCTTTCGTTTTTTGGACCCCAGTATATAGACCCCAAAACGTGATAATTCCAGAATATAGGAACGCCAGAAGGGTACGCCGAATTTGGGGAAACCCCCATTTAGGGGTTAGGGTTTGGGGCTTAGGATTTAGGGTTTAGGCCCTAAACCCTAAACCCTAAACCCCAGTGTAGTTTGAGGGTTTAGGGCTTAGGGTTTGGGGCTTCAGGTTCTGGTTGTCAGGGTGAAGGCCTAGCTCTGGGGGATCCCCCAAGTCGAATGGTCCAAGTACTCAATAATTAGGTCCCTTTAAAAGGGATATATAGGGATATATTTAAAGGGGATACATGGGGATATATAAGGTTTAGGGTTGAGGGTCCAAGTACCCAATAATTAGGTACTTGGGTTTCGGGTAATAATACTTATAGTATAGGTTTTGGGTGAGTATATGATTATTAGGTACTTGGACCTTTAAGGTATATCCTGAACCCCCTGAAGGCCCCTAGGTACCCTAAACACTTTGACTTAAAGGAGTTGAATATCTTAAGGTCAAGCAGGGGCTTTAGCATCAACAGTAATTATGACCCACCTTGGGCCTCAAAATCGACAAATAGTATGTGCTTTGAGCTGCGCGGATGAATAGGTAAGCTAAGGGCTTAGGGCTTACAAGGAGGGGCCCCCTTGTTACGTAAGTATACTTATAAGTCCTATAATTACAACTTATGGAACTTAAAACCATATTTAGCCCAACTTATAACCCAACTTATCCGCCGACCTTGGGGGGCGTGTTGGATGGTTGCCGAAAGCGGAGAGGGTGAAAACCCTCTTCTTTTCTCCCTTACAGCCCCAAAAGTTTCCCTCGAGGTCCCCACCTCCGAAGCAGCCGTTTCAGCCGACACCCACGCCTTCGCCAGGCTCCCACCAGGAGGTTTGCGAAAAATCGTAATTTGAGAGGTTTGGGTGGTTTTTGTGGGGAAAAGGCCCCGGGCCC